CGAGATCACGTCACTGCACTCCAGCCTAGACGACAAAGCGAGACTCTGTCTCAAAAAAAAAAAAAGATATTGGCCGGGTGCAGTGGTTCAGGCCTGTAATTCCAGCACTTTGGGAGCTATGGCGGATTGCTTGACCCCAGGAGTTCAAGACAAGCCTGGCCAACATGGCAAAACCACATCTCTACTAAAAATACAAAAATTAGCCAGGCGTGGTTGCGGGTGCCTATAGTCCCAGTTACTCAGGAGGCTGAGGCATGAGAATCGTTTGAACCTGGGAGGCAAAGGCTGCAGTGAGCCGAGATCGTCCCATTGCACTCCATCCTGGGCAATGAGTGAAACTCCATTTCAAAAAAAAAAAAAAAAAGAGTATAAAGCAGTGTTAGCTAAAATGAGAGAGCTCTATAAAATTTTATTTTATTTTATTTTTATTTTTTGAGACAGAGTTTTGTTTAAACTTAAGTCAAGAGGCCAGACATGGGTGAGCCTGTAATCACAGTACTTTGGGAGGCCCAAGCCGGTGGATTGCTTGAGCACAGGAGTTTGAGACCAGCCTGGGCAACATGGTGAAACCCCATCTCTACAAAAATTAGAAAACTAGCTTTGCGCAGTGGCAGTATCTTAGCCAATGAGGTCTATCTGAGGCGTGATTATTGCTAATTGAAAATTTTACCCAATACCCTGCCGTGATGACCTGCAATATAGTTGGCATTGGCAATTTTTGACAGTCTTTACAGAGACTGAAAAAAAAAGAAAGAAAGAAAACTTTGTCTAGTGGCACATGCCTGTAGTCCCAGCTACTCAGGAGGCTGAGGTGGGAGGATCTCTTGAGCCCAGGAGATAGAGGTTGCAGTGAGCCCTGATGGTGCTACTGCACTCCAGCCTGGGCAACAGAGTGATATCCTGTCTCAAATAATAGTAATAATAGTAATAATAATAATAATAATATAAATTATGTGTCAACCAGACCCGACAGACTCCAGGCCTCTCTGAGTAAGTACTACATAAAATATACAACAAAGAAAAAACAGGGCTGGCATGGTGCCTCTCGCTTATAATCCCAGCATTTTGGGAGGCCAAGGAGGGAGGACTGCTTGAGCCTAGGAGTTCAAAACTAGCCTGGGCAACATGGCAAGACGCTGTCTCTACAAAATATAAAAAAACTAGCCAGCATGGTGGTGCACACCTGTGGTCTCAGCTACTACAGAGGCAGAGGTGGGAGGATTGCTTGAGACTGGGAGGTTGAAGCTGTAATGATCTGGGGTCATGCCAATGCACTCCAGGCTGGGAAACAGAACAAGACCTCATCTCAAAAGAGAGAGAAAAAAGAACAGTCTATCTGCTTGTCCTGGAAAAATAGCAATTTCCCCTGATAAATACAAGTTAATGGTTAATTAATATTTCATTAATTTATTAAGAGGTAGTAACAAGGAAAATATATTGAAGGGTAAGAATTAAACTCTGCCATCAAAAAATCTTACCATCCAGGAAGGGAGAGAAGAGGAGTGTAAAACTACCCATGGTGCTACGAGGTAATTTTAAATAAATTGCAATGTGGCAATTGAGTCGAGGCTTTAAGCACTCGTAGGATATTCTCCCTCTGATTACTTGCTCAAAGTAGATGATTTAGAAAATATAGAAAAGTACAATAAGGTTTTAAGGCCGGGTATGGTGGGTCACGCCTGTAATCCCAGCAAGAAGGCTGAGGCGGGCAGATTAGGAGGTCAAGAGATGGAGACCTTCCTGGCCAACATGGTGAAACCCCATCTCTACTAAAAATACAAAAATAGCTGGGTGTGGTGGCACGCACCTGTAGTCCAAGCTACTAGGGAGGCTGAGGCAGGAGAATAGCTTGAACCCAGGAGGCAGAGGTTGCAGTGAGCCAAGATCGCACCACTGCCTGGTGACAGAGCGAGACCCTGTCTCGAAAAAAAAAAGTTAAAAAAAAAAAATCACATGTAATTTTCCTACCAGGAGAGAACCACTACTAACATTTTAGTGTATACTTTCTCCCGTATTTTTTGTCTTTGCTTTTTAAAATAGTTTAAAGCGGTATGGCGCGGTGGCTCACGCCTGTAATCCCAGCACTTTGGGAGGCCAAGGCGAGCGGATCACCTAAACAGCCTGGCCAACATGGCAAAACCCCATCTATACTAAAATACAAAAATTGGCTGGACATGGTGGCGTGCGCCTGTAATCCTAGATACTAGAGAGACCGAGGCAGGAAAATCGTTTGAACCTAGGAGGCGGAGGTTGCAGTGAGCCAACCTCGCTGGAGGTCGTCACTCAGGATTTCCTTAGGCTGCCGGAAATCCGAGGTCTGGGCGAACCTTTTACTAGGCGCTTTAAGGAGCAGCGATAGGACACCGCGGCCGCCAATCAACCTCAACTGGAGGCAGTTGCACTCCAGCCTGGGCGATAGTGACTCTGCCTCAAAAAAAAAAAAAGAAAAAAAAAAAGAAAAGAGAAAAGAAAAAAAGGAAAAAAGAAATGGCTCCCTTAGTAGAGCTGATGCTAATCCACTGTGTGCGCAGTTCCTATAATGTAACCAGAAGGACTGGCAGGTGACGAGGGTACGTAGGAGACAAGCCATTTTAAGAGGAGGGAAATTAAGGGAGCAGATTCGGAGGGATGGGCCAATTTTACTGGCACTTAAGATATTAGTGAGATGACTTGGGCCAGAGGCCGGGATTTTGCACTTCATTTACTTTTCATATTGGAGAGGAATAAGGAAGTCAGTTGGTTTGGATGGAATATGTGTTGTCTGAAGAAGGGTTTAATAGGCTGAGAAGCAGAGATGTCTACGAGGTAGCTGACATTCGAATCTGGACCTGAGAAAGGCTCTCGGGTTGGAAAAACGGCAGGGCTGGTTAGTTTTCTACACACTTTAACACGGCCTAGTCACCGCTGCTCCCTCCTCATTTTAAGTAAAGTTCTTTCTTTATTCACATTGCACGCCGGAGGCTTCATTTCGCGCTTTTTTTCTCCTAGGCCCGGGGCTAGGGCAAGTCCTTTGCGCCCGTCACCTAACAACGCCCCTCAAGCCCTTCCCCGCCCCCGCGCCGCCGGAAATCCGAGGTCTGGGCGAACCTTTTACTAGGCACTCTAAGGAGCAGCGATAGGACACCGCGGCCGCCAATCAGGCCTTCCAGATACCCGGATGTGAGACGGTGCGCGATACAAAGGCGAGTTTCCACCCAGAGGGTCGTCCGGTGCAATAGCCAATAAACATTCCCCGGACGATAAATGACAGGAAAATTAACCAGTTACAAACTAGTTTCTCTCACGCATGTGGAAATTCTTCTGCTTAGTCTAACCCACTGCCAATTGTGACTGGATATCATTGTGAGAAGCGGTTGAACTGTCTAATTAGGAGCGGGAGCGAAAAAACACACAGCCAATAGGAAGATTCTTAGGGATGGGGCGGGGACTAGGCCTTCGCCTCGGCGGCAGAGGAGACTCGGGGGCCATTTTGTGAAGAGACGAAGACTGAGCGGTTGTGGCCGCGCTGCCGACCTCGACCAGCAGTCGGTTTCTCCACGCCGAATCCGGGAGTAGGAGACTCAGAATCGAATCTCTTCTCCCTCCCCCCTCCTGGTAAGTGGAGAGGGCGGACGCAGGGAAGGCGCTGGGTTTTTTGGGAAGCGAGAGGGGGTGTGGGAGAGAATATGAGGGAACCCTTCCCCCTAACTAACCGGGCCCTCATTTATTCTGTTTGTTTTGGGGGATTAGGTCTGAAGCGGGAGGCGGTTTTACAGGCCTCAGCCTCTGCGTAGGTTTAACCTGGTGTCCTCTGGGCCACGATCGCCAGGGAAAATGCCCTTTTTTCGCTCTTCCTGTGTTAACGGCTGCTTTCCTTTCATTTTCTACGACCGCGAGGACTCCGGGATCCTGAAAATGAAGATCGCGATGTTCATTAATATAGTCGAAGTTAACATAGCGCCGATGCCTTCTATTACCTCGGTTCTTCTTACATGTAAAAATTGGGGGAGGGGGAGGGGGAAGGTTACCAAGTAGATGTATCGCGAGCCTTTAAATCCTGGATCGTGCCGCGTGGCCTACGAGAAAGGTTTAACAAAAGATTTAGCATTTTACTGATAACTTTTTATTTTATTCCTCTTTATGAGCAAATAATGGAGCTCGAAGTAGTTATTTTCACTTACGTTTGTAAAAGGAAATATTGTGTATAACTATATTAATAATTACAGCTGACTTTTCATCTGCAGGTTACAAAACACTTGAAATATATAAGTTAGTGGAACTTTGCTTGAGGTAGGTATTAACTCTCTTTCTCAGACAGAAACTGAGGCAGAAAAGTGTTGATTGCTAGGGTCATAATTAAGTCAGTAGCAGAACTACTAAGGAATTTGACCACGAGGTCAGTCGAGTGGTTTTTACCTGGTTAATGGAATACCGGGTTCTAAAAGTACAATATTTGAATCTTTGCGAGAACCTGATGACGGAAACCACGAGGTAACTGGAAATTCCCAAATTGCGCTTAAGAAAAATACTACGAGACTTGAGAATTTATTGTTAACGTAACTTCCTAAGTGTAAGATGACAAAATTTGACTTTCGGGTTATTCTGATGTTAATTTTCCCGTCCACCTAAACTTGGGCAAAAATTCACAGCTACATTTTATTAAGCAAATATTAACAGTGCTGTTATTTGCTCGGTGCTGAAATTTGATTAAAAACTTGTAAGTTAAAGTTACAGATTATTTAGTGTCACGTTCACTTATCTGGGAAATCGGTTTTTTAAATCCTCACATGAGATTTGGTTATTTTTTACAATCTGTTAATTTCACAAAAACTAAAGCTGTTAAGCACAGTTTAAACCAATTCTGCCGGGTAAGACATTTATCTGTAAGGCAACCTATTTGATAGGAAGTAAAATAAGGGTCAAAAACATCGCGACCCCTTTAAGTTTAAATACATTATTACAGGAACTTAAAACTAAAGTTTATCATCGTGCTAAACTGTTAGAAATGAGGTAAAGGCAAAAATAGATTAATTGGGAAATCATGTAGTACAAATGTTGGCAATGAGAAATGTCAGAAGTTAGTATTTAAGAACAGTTATTAATGGCTGAAATTGATGGACGGGCACTTTTCTTTGCCTTTGAGGTGTTAGAAATACGGGTTCCTTCCGATCAGTATGTATATCAGATCAGTATGTATATCAGCGTACCAAAAATTCTTTAATATCAAGAACTGTTTGCCACGGCATTTATATCACAATTCCAGGTGTGTTCTCAACTGGATAGGCATTTAGTAACATTTTCGTATTGACTAGCGTATTGGCTAGGGGGAAAAGTTGAAGGATGGCCAGGTTGCAGGTTTTCTGACCTTTTTTTCCCCCCATTCGTGTGCCACTCTTGGGAATACTTGGTAGTTGATGTTCCTTCTGTGGAGAATTTAAACAGCTTACGTTTGTAATTAAATCTCTTAGAGGATTTGACATGGCATTCGACCTTGTTTTGGATGGAATGGCAGTGCGACACAAAGAATAAACTCAAATAGCTAGTTGCTCTAATTTTAAAGACTAAGGGGCAAATTATTAAAACTTAATATAAGTGTTGAATGTGAGGTGTTGAATAGGGAGTAAATTTGCCTAGGAGGAGAAATAGATTTTAATCCTCCTTGCTTAAATAAGAGGACTTAGACTTTTTTTTTTTAACTTATTTGAATTTTTAGTTTCTAATTCAAATTTTTCGTTGCCAGAAGACTAAAAACTGTACAGATTCAGTCTTTTTAAAGCAGTTTTTTTTTTTTTTTTGAGACGGAGTCTCACTGTTGGTCCCAGGCTGGAGTGCAGTGGCACAATCTCGGTTCACTGCAGCCTCTGCCTGCCGGGTTTGAGCGATTCTCCTGCCTCAGCTTCCCGAGTAGCTGGGATTACAGGCGTGCGCCACCACGCCGGGCTAATTTTTATATTTTTAGTAGAGACAGGGTTTCACCATGTTGGTCAGGCTGGTCTCACTTCTGAGATCAGGCAATCCTCGTGCCTCCGCCTCCCAAAATGCTGGTATTGCAGGTGTGAGCCACGGCACCCGGCCCCAGTTTTCTAAATTAGTAGTAGTTATTACTATTCTTAACCACATTATTTCAGTCTTCAAATAATTAGTAGTTGTCTCTGGGGAGCATTATTTGCTCTTAATATGCATATTCTTGTATTCTCATTGGAAATGGGAAGCTTTTGGTTTTGTGTATACTACATTTACTAGAGGATTGGTGAGAACTAGAAAGTTGAGGTGTGGCATAACTACAGGTTTTCTCGATATTGAAAAATTTGGATTTATTAACATAAGAAATTTTGGTTTCTTAACCAAAGAAAATTTATTTTTCTTTAGTTTTTTTTTTTTTTTTTTTTTGAGACGGAGTGTCGCTCTGTCGCCCAGGCTGGAGTGCAGTGGCCGGATCTCAGCTCACTGCAAGCTCCGCCTCCCGGGTTTACGCCATTCTCCGGCCTCAGCCTCCCGAGTAGCTGGGACTACAGGCGCCCGCCACCTCACCCGGCTAGTTTTTTGTATTTTTAGTAGAGACGGGGTTTCACCATGTTAGCCAGGATGGTCGCATCTCCTGACCTTGTGATCCGCCCGTCTCGGCCTCCCAAAGTGCTGGGATTACAGGCTTGAGCCACCGCGCCCGGCCTTTTCTTTAGTTAATAAGAAAATCTTACAAGAAAATTTGGTTTCTTAACCAAAGGAAAGAGGTTTCTTTGGTACATTTACTGTGATAGGTTATGTGTTTTTGGATTTATATTGTATCAGGAAAACATTATTTGGTGTTCTAACTTGAGTCTGTCCCAGTACACTGGAAGGACAGGCACTTTGTTTAAAGAATTGATTCTAGAGGCCAGGCGCGGCTGCTCACGCCTGTAATCCCAGCACTTTGAGAGGCTGAGGCGGGTGGGTCACGAGGTCACGAGTTCCAGACCAACCTGCCAATATGGTGAAACCCCCATCTCTACTAAAAATACAAACAAACTGGGCGTGGTGGTGCTCGCCTGTAGTCCCGGCTACTCGGGAGGCTGAGGCAGGAGAATAGCTTGAACCTGGGAGGCAGAGGTTGCAGTGAGCCATCGCACCACTGCACTCTAGCCTGGGCGACAGAGCGAGACCCCCTCTCAAATAATAATAAGTAATAATAATTGATTATAAACTGGGGAAGAGAGAGATTCCCGATTTAAAATCTTCACAGTGGTTCTCAAACGTTAGCCAACACCAGAATCAATAGGGCTAGTTAAAACAGATTGCTATGATCTATACCACCAGGTTTTCTAATTAAGTCTGGGGTGGGGCCTGAGAGTTTGAACTTCTAGTAAGTTCCAGGTGATGATGCTTATGCATCACTCATTCTGAGAGGGACTCCTTTAGAAGAAGGGATCCAAACTTCAGGCAGGTTTTGACAAATAATAACCTAGAGATACATTTTTTAAAAACTACCTTTGAGCTTTATGTAAGGATACTCTTTTTTTTTTTTTTTTTTTTTTTGAGAGCCTCACACTGTCACCCAGATTAGAATGCAGTAGCGTCATCCCAGCTCACTGCAACCTCTGCCTCCCAGGCTTAAGGGTGCCCTCAGCCTCAGTAGCCCTGCTAATTTTTTGTATTTTTGGTAGAGACAGAGTCATGTTTCCAGGCTGATCTTCAACTCCTGAACTCAGGTGATCCGCCTGCCCCAAGCCTCCCAAAGTGCTG